AATATGAAGCACAGGAGCACATCAGAATGATTTATGGTGCTTTATTCATTCTCCAAACGTCCCGTCATGGATGTTCCCATCACCAAATTAAGCAACGCCTACGGGTTTAACACAAGTTATGTCTTATGGTACTTTCATAAAAGAGCGTTAGGTACATTAAGGCCTTGGCGGATCATTTATCAAACATTTACTTGTTTTTATAATCTAAATCTGCTGCAGGGTAAAAGCAGGACAAGCGTCCTAAATGAGTCATCCACCATTTAAAAAACACCTACCATTTTGGCACCAACCGCAGCAGAAAATTGTGATCGTTTATGGTGTTTATTTAAAGTCGGAGTGTTTTGTTGAAAAAAAAAATGATTCAACCTGATGTCAACCTGGATCATTTCTTCCAGATACGGGGATTTCATTTTCAGAAATGGATTTGATGTATTTCCAGAGCAGATCCAAACTTACACATCATCTACTCTTTGCTTTTCTCAAACAAGAAAATGCATAAAAAGCAATGTAAGAATTAAAATATATTGATACATGTAGAGATAATGGGTTGCAGCAGCAGCAAAGAAAATCAGGTATGAAGCATTTAGAACCCTCGTTTTTGGTCTTTAAAATAACAGACGTACAAATGGAAAGTTAAAAAATGGCGGAAGTCCGGAAAAAAACAAGTTTGTCAAGAACTGATGAAAAAGATTCTTAATCTGCATGAAAATAAAGGATTACTGTGCGAAGCAGCTAGCAGTAGTTAGCATTAGACACATGAAACTACTATGTGAAAGAAGTTCGGAATTTGAGGTACAAATCTTAATCAAATCAAATCAAATTTCATCATTGGGAGGAAAGAATAAAGCAACCTATTGTTTTGTTTCTGTTCCAGTATTTTTGATGCTACAAAAGTGAGGTGTCAATGAGGTCTCAAAAGGTCACAATTTTTGCTCGAACAGCAGATGACTGCATAAAACCTTCGACTTGGGGAACGAAAGCCACAGAAAGCAGTTTGGTTGTTTTTGTAGTTTTTCGGTTACGTTTGGTTGCAAAAATGGCAACGAGGGCGGCAGGCGGTAAGCAGGCCGGCCGGCCCGACCCGAGCGTCGTTTGAGGATGAAGACAAAGATCCATATTAACAAAAAACGCAGATGACAGATGATTAATCGGCGTGGTGGGGTCTGCCGAGCCGCCGGACCCCCGGCTGACACCCTGAGCTTCCAAACACAAAACCAAAAACCCCCCAGAGCCTCGGCAGCCCGGAGGAGCGTGGGCGAAGGGTGGAAGCAGGGCACCGTCCCCACGGAGCTGTGTGTGTGTGTTTGTGTGTGTGTAGAGAGAGGAAAGAGAAAGATTTTGTGTGTGTGGGTGGATTTGTGTGTGTTTGTTCGACAGATTCTGACAGAGAAAGTGTGTGTGTTGGTGTGTATATTTGTTGCAGAGACTCCAAGCAAAAGTGTGTATTTGTGTGTGTATGTGGGAGTGTATTGTGTGTTGCCTAAATGTGTGCATTTGATTTCTGAGTTTGGTTCATTGCAGTGTTGTGTGTGTGTGTGTGTGTGTGTGTGTGTCTGTGTGTCTGTGTGTGTGCATGTGCACCGACCAAACCCCCATCTGCCACAGGGTGGGCGGCTCGCCACACAACGACAATACACACCAACATTTTTGTAACTGTGGGCGTTCAAAAGGCTCGGAGAGCTGCAGTCCTCCTGCTCGCTCTGTTCGTCTCCACAGCTCAGTGATCCAGCAGAAGGCTTCATCTTGATCAACTCTCTAATCAGCAAATCAAACAGAAGCAGCATCACAGCTTAAATATGTTCTTTTTACACTCCAAATATCTAAAAGGACTCAGCGTTTCCAACCAGATTGTCTTTCCTTATGAGGTGTGCAGAATAAAAAAGATGAATCCCATGTGGATTTGTCTTATAAATGAATATAAACTCTGAGCTGAAGGTGTGGCTAAAGGAAAGATTCATCGTCTGGGGTATATACAGAGGATCTGCACCAAACTCCACCAATTTTACATATTAGAACCTGATTGCAGGTGTTGGGGAGTTCTACTATGTTTTAAAGGTAGTACTATAAAGCCTTTAGTGTCTCCAGAGGGAGCCGTGTAAAGTCCGATAAATGTCCTCAAGTGATGTTTGATTTAGTGTCAGTTGAAGACTACAAACCTGAAAATGAAACAAATCTGTTGGTGTGGAGTTAAAGTTTCCAAGGGGCATCGTCAACGTGCGCAGCCAAGAATGTCTCTGGATGCAATTGAATAGACCTACAACCAATCAGAGCAGTGAAACGTGTGACGTAGCATAACCTCACCAAATCCTGCCAGAAGTTCTGTAATGGCAAACACATATTTCTTATAAACAAAGCTTTAAGTGCAGTTGTTTGTTCTTTTAGAGGAAATATACAGTCAGGTTTAAAACTGATGTGATAGCAGATTGTACAGAAACAGTTCCACATTAGCGGCAGCCATCTTGGTTGTGTACAAAAAAGGTCCCAACGGCCAATAATGTTGTGCTCCTCTGTACAGTCATCATATAAAACCCTGCCCTATTTTAGTCTGTCTGAATGGGAGGGGGGGATCAGAACAAATAAAACAAGAGCTTGCAGATTCAGCTGGTTGTCAGGCTTAGGCTAACACCTGAATCTCTGACCAAACAGTCCACGGTATTGTGGGTATTGTAGGTTTTGACATGGGAGAATGTGTGGAATATCAAAAGTCTGGTTGTCCTGCATCGATTTTGATCCTTTTTTTAAAAATGGTCCAGCTTGAGTCTGACAGTGTTATAGGAGCGCAATGCTAAATTGGTGAAATTGTGTTTTTTGTGCCCTGTGGAGTTTTCTCTTTATTCAATGTTTCTCACCAAAACCCACTCTATTTATCCTTGAGGTCACAACACGTTTCCTTCCTCATAAATTATTTGTGAAGCAGATTTTAAATATTGCATTGATTACATCCATGTTTTCTTGCTAGCAGTTTTCTTCGTTGTGTTCGGTGGTGCATTGCTATATTTCTTTATGCTTTACGACCAAAAACTGTCAACCGTCCATGCACATTTGGAGCTGATTATAAAAACACTGCTCCATAGCGCTACTAGTGGTCAAAAACCCCACAGAGTACCTTTAAAAGGTCCTGTGTGAAACATTTAGGAGGATCTATTTGCAGAAATGGAATATAATATTCATAACTGTGTTTTAATTTAAAATGTATAATCACCTGAATGTAGGAATCCTTGCTTTTTTGTTACCTTAGACTGAGACATTTATATCTACAGACACTGCGTTTCACCTTCCATTAAGATCTAGATTGGGGCATTCGCATTTTTAACGTGTTTTATGGCCACCATAGTTTCTCCTTTGTGCTTGGAAAGGGAGGGTGAAGCGAGCAAGTTGCAATCTGATAGTTAACAACTGTGTATGTTTTTTTCTGTAATGCATGAAAAAAATGTAAAAGAAGATTAATCGGCTTTAGTCCACTTTTTTGTTGTTGTTAGGCTAAGGTCAGTTTTTGGTTCAGGTCATCTTGGTTGAGTTGAAATGCACCACTTCTTTTTGTACAAATGAAGTTTCCAGCGTTTCACTCCATGTGGATAAAACCAAGCTTCTACTTTTTCTTGTTTCTGGATGAAATGACTCCACTCTCACACAAAGAGTCAGTCTCCGTAAACTTAAACCTTGTGTTGAACAGATACAGATACACAAGGGGTTAGGGTACCCTGGTAGCTCACCTGGTAGAGATTTACCCCTGTGGCCCAAATCTGTGTCCTTGCTGCAGTGGCTATGGGTTTGAGTCCAGCCTGTGGCCCTTTGCTGCATGTTCCCTCCCTCTCTCTGTCCTCCTTTCCTGTCTGTCTTGAGCTTTGCAAATGGATATTAAAAAAATACCTATAAAACCAGAAATCTTACTTCAAGCTCAAATGTTTGGAATCTCAGTTCAACAGTGATCTCTAAGTACATTTTGGGGAGTGAAAATGGGATATGTGTGATGGCAATTTTGTCAGTTTTGGACGAAAATAGAAAGGTGTTAGTATTTCAAAATAATGGACCCTGACTTTTCAAAGGATCTTGTAGTTTATGTAGGCTAAGCCTCTGCTTGAGGAGAATTTGATGTCCCTCATGTTTTCTCAGTACTAACATTTCTTAATCAAAGACATCAAACTTCATGAAGACTAAATGCATTAGTGTTTCCTGAACAATGCACAGCATCAATAGAAACCAGCTTCTCAAGGAAATAAATTAAAAGATTATTCTCTCACTAATCACCTCATCTATCTCAGCGGGCCAACAATAGCGAGACTCAGTCAGAGCAGTAATCTGTTCCTGACAAGGCAAGAGAGAAAACAAATGGGTCTGTGCTGTCAGTGTGTGGGCTCAGCTGGCACGAAGACAACACAATGTAACACAATTTACCCGGATACCGGCCATATAAGCAGACCGAGATCCTCTCACCTCACCGGAGAATCCATTTATGGACAAATGGTGACCGGAATTCCGAATGATGGAGCTTTCTTTTATTTGCTTTACAGCAGCATTAAGCACGTGCTGATGTTTGTGGGGAAAAAAGTTACAATAAAATCCCACATTGAGATTCTCGGCGGTATTAAGTGTATAGTTCAACTCGAACCTGTACCTTTTATTTGCTTCCACGTTTCGTCACGGCACGCTCCACCAGTCCTATTTCTGGAGTTCCCTCTTTTTTTTTAAACACAAAGTCCTTATTTGGTTAATGACGTAACGGGACACCCAGAGATTCCCTTTATAACCATACTGCACCATCCAGGAGCTATTTACAAGAAATGAGAGGCGGAACAGACAAGGGTTAACAGACAAAATGAGGGAACATATTCATAATGTTTGAGAGTCAGTGAGGCAGAGAACTGGGGACGGTGACTTGAATATATAATTAGTTTAAAACGAATAATCTCCAACTCACAGACAGAATGACTGCTAAAGTGGCGGATGAAGTTTCTATGTCTCTCAGCAGTATTGTGGATAGTATTCCTAAAGATGTGTACACAGCGGAGGGGGGGTTGTCTTCACAAACGTCGATTGTTTTTAAAGAGGAGGCTGAAGATCCTGAAGGGAAACCTGATGAGAATGAAAGCGGTAAGGTTTTGTATCATATGTTGTGAAATGGTTTGGATGAGCGGGACATTCTGTCTTTGATGGCACCAAAACGTTCTAATGATCTGGAAATTAAAACCGACCAATGGTCGTGGAGTGCCGCGCGTTAGATGGCAACCGTGTCACAGGATGACAATGTTAATATGATCTTTAATTTTCGTTCTAACCGAGTCCACCTTTCTACATTTCCAGGTGATTTTCTGTTCGAGGAGAGGAGCGCACCTGAGCTGCTTCTCCAGGGCGACTTGGCGCAGTACGTGGCAACTTTACGCACGCACCCTGTGGCGTTTACCGGCAAGTTCTCGGTGGACTCCAGAGGAGGACCGTGGACAGTGGGGGACGTCATCAACGTGGTCAGCGCTGACATCGCCACCCCGGGAACACTCACGGTGGCTGGATCGCCTTCAACCTCACCCGATATTTACGCAGGAGGAGGAGGAGAAGGAGGAGACGCAGCGGACGCGGGGGACGGTACCATGGCGCACGGCCAGCCGGACATCAGCCACATGTACGCGCCCCCTCACCCCCACCATCTCAACCCGCCCTCCCTACTCCTGCAGCGGGGACATGTACCAGGATCCGTCGGCAGGGGGATACCTGGCGACGTCAACCTGCGCCGTCGCCTACCACCCGCCCCCGTCCTACAACTCCGTGCCCAAACCGACTGTAGACGGCGCCGCGCTGCTGTCCATCATGCCTGACTATGGAGGCTTCTACCAGCAGAGCTGCCAGAGAGATATCCAGACGGCTTTCCCGGATAGGAAATCCCTCCCGTACCCGCTAGACTCCCTCAGGGTGCCTCCGCCTCTCACGCCTCTTAACACCATCAGGAACTTTACGCTCGGTGCGCCCTCGCCGGTCGCAGATGGTCCGATGGCCGCCGCTTTCCCCAGCCACCAGAACCTTCCTCTCAGGCCGATCTTGAGGCCCAGGAAGTACCCGAACCGTCCGAGCAAGACGCCTGTGCACCAGAGGCCGTACCCGTGCCCGGCGGAGAGCTGCGACCGTAGGTTCTCCCGGTCGGACGAGCTGAGCCGGCACCTGCGCATCCACACCGGCCACAAACCCTTCCAGTGCCGCATCTGTATGAGGAACTTCAGCCGCAGCGACCACCTCACCACCCACATCCGCACCCACACCGGGGAGAAACCGTTCTCCTGCGACCAGTGCGGGAGAAAGTTCGCCAGGAGCGACGAGAGGAGGAGGCACATGAAGATTCACCTCCGGCAGAAGGAGAAAAAGTCCTCTGCGTCCTAATCCTCAGTGCGCACGGCCCCATGCTGCTGAATGTAAACTTTCTGAATCTGAAAATGAGCTCCACAGCATGCCTGCCAACAGAGCCCAAATTGAATCTTGTAACAAAATGGAAGAAATCTCTTTGGAAGCCATATCTTGAAAAAAATCAGGGAGAATCAGAAGCAGAGTGTGTGTTTGGTCATGCCTCCCTTCAGTATTTATCACATTAACTAAAACATAATTCCTCTCATCAGCCAGTGGTCCAGATTATTAACAGAACGTTAAATTATATGAAATGTAAAGGGAGTTTGGTTTACATTACTGAATATATACAGTAAAGCGATGGCAGTTGGTGTCAGTGTGTAGAACAGCTGCAGCTTGCTTTAGTGCTCTGTGGCAAGGCATTCTGTCCACTGTCTATGCTTCACATTCTCAGGGATTCAATTACAATTCAGGCTGCAAAGATGAGACCAAAATCCTGCAAGAGTCTGAGTGATGCAGGAGGTTGTACTGCTGCTGCTGCCTCCAGCTGTGTGGGCGCTTTGGTTTCAGTTGCAGTTAGAATGCACAGATCCTGTCAATTTCAGAAAACTCTCCGTGGTATCAGAGGGCACTTTTGGATTCCTCACTTAAACTTTATGCACTCAGTTTTTCCCCCACCAAACACACACACAGATGCAATTTCACTTAAACATCGGTTTCCGAAATCAAAATCTGTTTCACTTTAAACTACAGTAATGACACTAGGTTATTTCTCTGCACAATTTTGTTTTTGTGGTGACGAAACTGTAATTTCGGATTCGTCCCACCTCATCATCAAATTCTTAATTGTGCTGCAATCCCCACATCTTCTCCTCAAATGTAACCAACAGTAAATTCAGTGATGTTCAGTACCATTATGTAACTAAAAAGATATAAGAATCAACTCATATTAAAGTTAAAAGACGATTTTCAGGGTTACATGAGACAGATACACACAGGCAGTATTTTGTATTGTGATGAAACAGGATAAATATCACTAACGATGCTACACTGTATAGGCACTAAAATACGCCACCATTTTGAAAGGTTGGTATGGGGCTAAGGTGGTGAACTCAGTGAAAATTTCTTTGGCTAGATGCAGCAAAATGAAGCTTTTTTTTAACCTGGTTTTGTATCATATTAGAAATGTTGAGACGATTATATATATTAATATGTTTCATTTACAAAGAGCTGACTTTGCTTTTATTACAGCACATGATTGGGATTTTATGAGAGTGTTACTTTCTGGTTAGATTTTATTTTTAGCTGCTTTCAGGTGTATGCACACACAGACCTGTTGATACTTGTAAAGATCCAACCAGCATTTCTACCCGATGAATGTGAGAGAAAGAGTCACTGGACAAAATAAAAGTTCTGTGTTTGTGTTTTATATTTTTTATGCAAACAAGTCGAGCACTAAAGCTTTTATTCTGCCGGACTGATGCTTCTTGTCGATGCAAATAAATGTTGACTTGTCGAGTTGTTGTGGTTGTGCAGTTGCTCTTAACAAAGGTCTAGAGGGAAACATTTAGGTCTTTTGGCGGAAATGGAACTGTCCGACAGTATTATAGGAGTGCAATGCTAAATTGGTGGAGTAATGTTTTCTAATGAACATGTTAAACACATTTCCTTCCTCATAAATCATTAAAAACCAGATTTCGTATAATTTTTCAAATATTGCATTGATTACATGTTTCCTTGCTAGCAGGGTGTGTGTTGTGTTTGGTGGTAGTTTGCTATATTTCT